CAACTTAAACAGAGCACGGTAGAGTCATCATCTCATTCAGTGGCTTTCCCACCTTCTCTTAAACTGAGACCTTTCTGTGTGCCAACCACCAGCTAAAATTTGTTTCATTGTGGATATGATCTTCGAGCACATTGGGGAAAGCACCCAAGGAACCCTTGCTCCTTACTGTCCAGGCAAGCAGATTGAAATGTGCCTCCACAACCCCCCCTTTTTTTTGCTATGTGTTTCTGCTATCCAAATGAACCATGCCCAACAGCTTCTCCCCAGCACTTCAGCACTGTTTAAAGACCTCGCAGCGGCCAGCATCTTTGTCTGTGGCAGACAAGGCACCACAGTGTGTTGGTACCCTATCCCTTTGGGCCATCAGTTTTCTCAACTATGCAGTTCCATGGCAGAAGAGCCGTGTTTCACCTTAGCCTTTGTACCCTGGATAAGGTTGAGGTGCAGCAAGACACGGCAGCTGCTCAGCAGAAGCATTTATCTTCAGTACAGATGTTGCTCTCAAACCGCCCTGGTTTTAGCTGTAAGAGCACCTTTTGTGGTGCAAAGCCATTCTTTCTCCTTTGTGACCACAGCCTGCAGGCCCCTGCTGTCGGCAGCCCCAGCATGGTGGGAAAGGCCCCAGGCCCCGCGCAGGTGTATTTAGCTGCGCCCTGGGCAACGCGGGTCTGAGAGGAGCTCACCCCACGGTGCTGGGGCTGGGGATTAATGTGGGGGATGTTCGGGGTGGTCTCTGGCCCCGCGGCCTGAGTGTGACAGGTGGATGCTGCCGGTCACACATTAGCAGGAGTGGGGTGGCTTTGTCCTGAGCAGGCTGCGTAGGTCTGCACTGGCCCCCAGTGGCTGTGGCACAAACAGCCGTTCCGTGGGCTGTCCCCGCATCCAGCCCGGCCTCCGGGCCGCGGGGACACGGCCACATCACCCGTGCTGGGACTGCTGGTCCCTGCTCTGCCACTCGGGTACCTCAGCTTCTTAAGGGCTGGGGTGGTCCCTGCTCTGCCAGGATTTATGCGCTCCAGGACTCAATCCTGCCTCCAGGATTTATGTGCTCCAAACTCAATGCCACAAGCCTGAAGTTTCAAAACCCTTTTGAACTCCGGTTGCCAGAACCGCATGTGTTACCGGCTACTGCCTTCCCCTCTGGGTGCGTGGAGGTGGGCCAGTGTGTGTGCTGCGACAGCTTTGCACTGAGCCCCTTATCACGCTGTTTTCCACGATGGCCCTTTCACTCCTCCAAGTTGCTGCCAGCAGAAGTACCAGCACCCCCTCTCTGTCTGATCAGGTGCATGGCATCGTATGTGGCTGTGTTTTAAATTAAGGTTTTTTTTAACAGACACCATTTTCTCAGAGGCCCAGCCTGCACCCCAAAGGACGATGTCACAGTTGCTTAGCTCCATCCCCTCCATTCTGTACTTTGACAAATGGTTACCTATATTGATTCTAGATGTTCATTCCTTTGTTTACTTACTTGACACACACAATTTCTTGCTTCTCCACTCTGATGTAACCTTCCAGCGTCTTGATCACACTAGGCTTTTTTGTGATGTTAAAGTACCCTTCAGCACTCTGCTGTGATCCTTTACTCAGAAGCTGTTCCCAGTTTGTTTTTTTAAATTGCCTTCCTGAAGGATGCCCATCAGTTCCAGCCACTTTTCACCCTCTGCTCTGTGGCCAGGCTCTGGGGGCCATGAGGCTCTTCTGGAGCAGTTAAAGCTCTCAGCACAGTCCCCAGGCCACTGCCAGCCTTTCTCCATCACCACTTGCCATGCTTTTCCCTGCTTCCTGCAGTTCCCCTTTGAGGCTGTTCAACACGACCAATGGATTTCTCTGGCTCTCTCCCAACAGCCTTTGAGTGTGTTGCGGTCACTGCCCTAGAGAGACTCTTCAGTGATAATGGTGGGGTGCAGGTGTCCAAGGCAGCTAAGCTGAAGCTGCTTTTCCTCCCAGGTCTGGAGCCAGCAGCAGCCAGGGAGCAGCTAGCTGCCTGGGACCCCTGGTGTACCCCTCTTTGATTTCCTTTCATTTTGTCTCTGATCACAGCTGATTCCACATGTGAACTCTGGCACCTTGGTTCTAGCATCATGTTTTAGAGAAGCACATAAGTATCTTCTCTTGCTCTGGCTGCTTATTTTTATGTGCCTCGTTAAAGCAGCTCTTTACTGCTTCCCACGCTAATGTTGTCACCGCCTGTCCTAGCCTCTAGTGAAGACTCAGGGGGTTTTATGATTCCAGCCCAGGGATGAATCATATTTTCTTTAGCCCCACTGCTTGGTAGCTGCCTCCAGCACTTCTCTTCTACCTCTGTCATGTGAGTACCCCTGTGGTCACTCCCCTGTGTCTCCATGGACAGGGACCCTATGCTCCTACCTGAAAGAGCCTGCAAGAGACTGCCCGGATTGATACTGAGGGAGAGCTGGCACTTCTGTGCCCCACAGGATATACCTAGGTTTTGTTTCTGTGTGCTTCCCCTCATACCTCACAGTGCTCTCCACTCAGCTTGAGTTGCAAGATCTCCTTTTGTTTTTGGAGGCAGGTTTCTTTGGCTGCTTTTGTTCCCTGTTCTTTCAGACTTTCTGGACATTTCTGGTTTTTTTTCCTGGACTCAGAGAATTATCACACAGCCAAACTCTTTATCTTGTTGCACCTCTCTAACCCAGAGCTCTGCTCCCTTCACACAGGGCCTTCACCTGCCTGCATAAACCAGCCCACACTCACCATGGGACACGTGAGCTGAGCCTGGATGCTGTTTCAGTGTCTCCGTTTACCATGGACACTACAGGTGGGATGCCTATGTTCCTGGTGCCACCCAAGATGCCCCAGGGCATCAGATACAACAGGGGACTTATGACCACCCTGCCAACTGCTGGAGGTGAGGTGGGCTGCACTTCTCCTGGCACACAGTGACTGCACTTGTCCCCTCACTCATGTCTGTGCCTAGCTTTGCTCTCTTAGCCCATCTCCAGAGATCTGAGTGACTCCCCATCTTCTGAAATATTGTATTTACAACAAGCACTTCAGAGTCAGAGTGGAAATGTAATGGAAAACCTTCCCTGTGTACCTAAGACCTAAATCAATTAGAAACAAGCTCAGAGTTAAATGAAGGAAGCTGCCCGGGCTGATAGAAGAGCATTTGCAGGGAGGGATGTCTACCAGGCTAAGAGGAACCTTTCACCTTTGCTGGCCTGGTTGAACTGCACAGAAGCCCTGGGCTGTGCCCAGCCCAGCTCTACCCGTGTCCCGCAGAGCTGGAGCTCCCCAGGACCCCGCAGACCGGCATGGCTGGGTGCGAGGCCACCACGGGGGTGCAGGGGTTCCCCTGCTGACCACCAGTGAGGCAGGATGCTGGTCCCTCCCGGTGGGGAGTCAGCAGGCAGGGCACTTTGCCAGCTTCCCCGGGCATCCCAGCTTTTCCTGGGGTCGCTCCTGGGCTGCGGCAGGGAGCATCCATGGCCCGGGGGGGGTTGTCTGGCTCTGGGTGGGGGGTGCAGGGCAGAGGGGCCGGGGCAGGAGGAGGGGATCGGGGGGGTGCAGGATGTGGCCCCAGGGCGGGAGCTGCTCGGGGGCAGG